CAGCACAAACTCTTTTCACAAAGTGTAATCGATTAATGGTAGAAAAAAAAGATCCATAATATACAGCCTCAAACACCGACCAATCCAATTCAGTTCTGTAATTTAATTATTCATTACCCTTTTTTATATATTAATAATTTACCATAAAACAACAAATTCTTAGATTTACAGTATGGCATAAAACAAAACAAAAAAAAAGAGTGAAAGAGAGATAGATGGTGATGGATATAAGCAGAGAGAAACCTGAAAATATAAAAAGTGAGTGAAAGCAACGCAGAGAGAGAGACAGAGATTCCAACTTTCAAGAATAGTTACATGGATCACAATTACCGGAATCATAAAAAGTGAGTGAAAACAATGCACAGAGAGAGATAGATGGTACCACACGACTGTTTCCACCATCTACATCGATCTTGTTACCGATACCAACAAAGAGAAAGTTCTCTGGATCCGAAGAACTTGCAGAGAACTTACTTGCGAATCACAATTACCGGAATTCAAGCAAAGTTCTTTGGATCCAGATAGAATGAATCTAGAAATACAATACCTGAATGGGCTGAAGTAGGTAAAACCCTTGCTTTAGACACCAAATTTATATTATTAATTTGAGGGCAAAAAATATCCGTAAAAATTCATGTAGTATATTGGTCAACATCTCTTTGGGTGGGCAATAGATTTTGGGTTCGAACAGTATCACTCTCATTTTAGGAATTTTTTATATTTAAAATATTTATTTGGGCCACAAAATTTTAATACTGCTTTGGGCAGCCCAACAGGTAGGGCCGACACTCACCCCTCACAAAAGAATTACAACGATAAATCCTCACAACCACAAAGGAACTGGCTACGATCTCGTACGATCGAGCTCCCACAACCACAAGAGACTGATTCCAAATCCAAAATCCAACATTATGGAAAGACTGATCTCAAAGACTAACTCGACAATTCGGCATGTAGTATCAATCTGCATCCCATGTAATAACAACTGGTCCTTTGGTTCTTTCCCAACAGCTCATTTATCAATATAGACCTTGCCGAAATGTGTGACCTTGTATACTCTGCTCATAGACAACTTGTTTCCTTGGAACTACATTATTCCCAACAAACATTGCAACTACATCACTATGTTTTGGAACATCATCTGTCTTTTGCGTTGTTGAAAACAATTCCAACATGAATGACTATGTGTAAACTCTGGAGACAAGGCTTGAAACAACCAATGTGTTATCGATTTTGACTTGTCAAAATTTCCCAAACATTAAGTTTATGCTTGTATGTCGAGGCCCTCTGTTTTGGCCTTAGCTTGTACCTGTAAATCAAAATCCTGTAATATCTTCTCTGCTTTTGTCTTTGTTGTAAAGAAAAGCTATAAAGTGAATGTATAATCTTATTATGGGAAAACAAAGCTTCTAGCAACCAATTTATTAATGCTTCATGTACATATTCAAATAGCACATGTTATGCAACTTTCTATAATTTGCAGACTTGTGTTTGTATTTGAATTGCCAAGACTTGCTACACTTCCTCTTCTTCCTTGTATTAAGGATGTCTTCCTGCTGAGACAGTGTACAAAACAATTGATAGGAGGACTTGTCAATGTCGAAAATGACCCGTTATTTCACAGAGCAAAACAATGATAGGATAACTCCACAAAGTTGTCCCTAATGGTGACCCAACGGGCAAAACTGGCCAGTCTTTCGTCCGGAGTTAGAGGAGTTTGAAGACTTACACAAGTTTTTCCCGGAATTTACATTTGTCCATCAACCCAAAGACAAGAATACCAAAGCGGACCTACTTGATAGTAATGCGCGACTACGGAAAACAT